GAAGCAGTCATCCAACCTGCCTTAATTACGGGGTTTCCAGATTCGCCCTAGTGACGGCTGTCAAAACTCCTAGCCAAGAAGAAAAGGGAGAAGTTCAACATGAGAATGGAGGCTATGATGAGACAGGCACAGCTTCCCTGCATAATTCTGATACCGTAATTTAAGAGATCTCACAATGAAATTGTGTAATCAGGCCCCCGTAGCGGGCTCCTCCTGATCTGAATCTGCCCTTCACTTTGTCCTCACTGCTTCTACCACAGCCGCACGGCTCATGTGAGGTTTAGATCTTAGAGTTTAGGGTTGCGGTCTTGGAACTTACAGCCATCACATGGTCCTTAACCCCATCTCTTTGCAACAACAGCTGTTCTTGCTTTTCTTGGGAGTTAACATCAAGCAAAGGTCAGCAAATATCATCAGGACAAATCTAGGTAGACAGAAGATGAGCTTTTCAAAGCCCACCTCCCAGCGGCTGCAGAACTAAATATATAGTCCCTCTTAAGTAGATAGATTTTGGGGTTTAGGGCTATAATCCCCCTGAGGTAGATAGAATATGGGGTTTAGGGGTTTTGTCCTCCTTGAGTATATAAATAGAAAATGGGGTATATGGGCATCTCATCATACGCAAAGCCATACTCTATCTACTTAAGGAGCACTACAATGTAAGCTACGTCTGTGTAGATCCGGCTCTAAACACAACTCCCTAAAACCTAAACTTTAAACTCCCCTGCCCTAACAACCAACCCCCAACCCCCTTAATAATGAATATTCATCCCAATGTATGATGGTGCGAAAATGAGGCAGGGTGAATATTTGATTCTGAGGGGGTGGGGAGGGCAATACCTAAGCCTTCCATCAAACTAACATGGAATCCCATAAAGCCCGCTTCTCGGATAACCCTAGACCCTAAGTTTTAAGCCCCAAATCCTCAACTTCGGGGGGTCTGTGTTTAGGGCCTGGGAGCGGATAAAATCTGTGGATAACCTAGGTTCCCCAGTAACTCCATAATAATAAGGATACCCTTTTTCCTACTATTCAGCTTTAATAAAGAGACCCCAAAATAAAAAGGGTAAAAGGGTACCAACCCTAAACCCTAAACCCTAAACCAACCCTTCCGCACGCCTGGATCTAACTTCGGCTCCGTCAGCCACCTGGAGTTCAAAGGGATCGTTCAATTGGGTGGTTGTCGAAATTATGGTCCCTTTTGGGTACCCTCAAATATTAGGAATCGTATTATATTAGGGATCCAAACAGGGACCATCATTTTGACAACCATCCAATTAAGTGTTCACCGAAATCCTAGATTGCCCCGCTTACCGGGATGTACACGTATACTCGCGGGTTTAGGGTTTAGGGATATTATACAGAGAGGAAGAGGGGGAAATTTCGGGTTGTTTAGGGTTTAGTGTTTGAGGGTTAAGGCTTTCGAGTTACCAGGTGGGTTCCCTTGCATAAGGCTCTTGTACATATTCCCTGGGGAGAGTGTAGGCTGTACAAGGGCTACGTAAGGTCTAACCGGGAGAAACTACCAGAAGGAGCGGGGGCCGGGTAAGTTGCATGGTTTAGGGTCTAGGGTTTCGTTTGGACTTTTGAGCTTAGGGTAACGGGTTTGGGGTTCAAAGTAAGTACAAAGGCTTTTAGTATCCTGAACCGTCAAGCACGGGTTTTACTCGTCATCCTCGGGTGAAATTTCTAAAGGGACGTTAAAGGGAGCGCCAGACAGGAACCTCAAGAATATAGTAGGAATCTTGGGAATACATACCAGTGCCCATATATTCCAATCATATTCCTACTATATTCTTGGGGTTCCCTGCTTGGGGTTCGCATTAAAATCTTGACATCCCACATATGCAGATGCAAAGTTAGTTTCCCAAGGAGCGACATACACTCTGCCAAAAAGCACAAGAAAGGCCACAACTTGGTTACTCTCCTTAATCCCACATAAAGACTTATCTTGTAGCTTCCTTAATAGGACACCATCGAACCCAAAAAGCTATAACGTGCTAAATTGAAAATACAGTCCCGTCTTATTCTGCAGGGAGCCTGCTTTCACCCGGAGTAATGCTTGCATTTGAAGGGCGTAGGCCTGCATGCTAAACAGTGAATGGTCACTGCTACATCATTACCTAGCCGCCCGGTTCCTTGCCCACTGAAGATTGACGTTTCAATCATGATAAAGTCCTATATACCCCCCCCCCAGGGAGAAATGTTATTCACGTTATTCATTCAGCTATGGAAACAAAAAGGAAGTCTTGCACGATTCTCCAAACAATGACAAAGCCTGCACTCTAAAGCCCCAAACACCAGACACGGTATCCGGTATCTCTGGCCAAGCATGCAGCATCTGAGAAACATTGGCTTTGGGCGTCCCTGTCAATGACGCTTTAGAATGCGAAGCTGGTATAGTGTCGGTGCCTGTATGATTAATACAACTTTGCGAGGTAGTCTACGATAGTTACGGCTAATGACGGTGCTTCTTCAGGCTTCTACATTATCAGAACTAAGCCCTAAATCCTAAACCCACGAACCCTAAATCCCTTATATCAACCAAAGCCCTTAACCCCTTAACCCCTACTAACTTACAACCAAAACCCTGAACCTTAACCCCAACCCCTTAAACCCTTCACCCTCAACCATGTTCAAAGGTTAGAAGAAGGGGTGAACCCTAAACCCTAAGCCCCTTGAAACCCTAAACCCCAAACCCCTAAACCCTAAACCCTAAGCCCCTAAACACCTAAACCCCAAATCCTAGACCCTAAACCGCAAACCCCGTAAGCCCTAAGGTTTATGGTTTTAACGGCTAACCTTCGGCCTAGGATTAACCTTACTGTAGGGCAAATTTAAGGTCCAGGGTTTAGGGTTTAGGGTCAAATATTGGGATAATGGACAAGAAAGAAGAAACTACAATTTAGGGTTTAAGGTTGGGGGTATAGGGGTTAAGGTTTAGCGCTATGGGGATCTCCCAAAATTAGGTGTAACTTTTTTTGGGGGGGTGGTGTCCCTATAGTAGGGATTATAGTGTCTGGGGTTCTATATTCAGGTCCCCCTCTTCGAGGAAACGAACATATTCGATCCGGCGGATGAAGAACGTCTTTTACACCACCTAGGACCCCCTTGAGTACTGAACGAAATCAACCATAAACCATAAACCCTAAACCCTAAACCGAATACTGAGCGAAATCATAAGCTATGAGGCAGACAGGGTGGTGCAAGATTCCCTTCATCCCCTGTTGGGTTAGCATAAGGGGCCAGTTTCATCAGAATGGGGTTTGGGTACATAATGCTATCATGTCAGAGTTGTTGGGTTAGCATAAGGGGCCTGTTTCATCAGAATGGGGTTTGGGCACATAATGCTATCATGTCAGAGTTG